GATCTGAACACTGTCGTCGTCGCACTACTCCCAAATTTGAAGGTTGTCGTTGCCGCACTGCTCCCAGATTCCAACGCTGCCATGGCCACACTGTTCACCCACTCCTCGAGCTCACACGTCGCCACCTTCGTTTGGTTTCAGATGCACCCACTCATGTTCATTCTCTTCGTTTCCTGTTCCAAAACCTTGAAAAAAAATCAATTGAATGTAGTCAAATGAAGGAGAAATTTGTCTAAAATTTTAAAAAATAAGAAATGAAGAAAATAAACATGAAAATAGTCGATTTATATTTGAAAAAAGAAAAGAAAATGGTTCTGATTTTCACCCTCCTATTCAGGAAGCCATACTATATTCATGGTGAGAAAGTGATATCTCTATTGGTTATACTGAAATGTTTAATTCTGCCATTACACTCTATTTGGAGTTTCTTCAAATTGCAGTTAGACATAGTAAGAAATGAAGGTTTCTCTGTATAGCAGGTTAGGTGGATTTCTTCTGTCCCATTGAAGTCATATGACACTCTTGGTTTGGCAAGCATTGTATTTCGCAGCAATCGTAGAAACCTAGGTTTTAGTTAAAGTTCAAACCCTTAAGTTGGTGTTAGTAAAGTCCAATGAGGAGGCTAATCTCTATTTTCTCTTCCATTTTTTGTTTCTGAGAGTTTAATTTTTTTGGTATTGTGTGTTACTAGGTTTGGTGAATTCCAACTTAAGTTTATGCCATTTTTATGATATTTGATTGGTTGATGACGTTTTTCTATTCTTGTGTGCAGGAGCTATTTGGTGGTCAACCATGGGAGTCACACCAAAGTTTTTTGTCACGGATGGTAACAAATCCATTACATTAAATGTCTGTTGAGTAGTATGATCAAATTAATTTTTATACTTTTGATGGAAGTTGCAAAATATCTAACTTAACTAATTACTTGAAACCTTTAATGGGTTGATTTTCTTGATTCAAAATATTTTTCTTGGATAGTCATCTCAAAGAAGTTCAGCGCAGAAAGAACAGTGTGAAATGAAGTTGATGAGAGAGTTAGGGAGAGAAAAAGGGGGTTTTTTTGGAAGTACAAATGAATGTGATCTAACCCAACATTAAAACCAAAGTATAGCAGTTATTCATATTCTTTTATTTTCAAATATGTACTATTTTCTTGACTGAATTTAAATTGTTGCAATGCTTGTAAAACTGTTTGTTGGTAGGGAGTGTGTTCAATGTGCAAAACTTCTTTCACTTTGGTGGCTAGGTAAGTGAGACTATATTGATCACTTTGAAAGAAGGTAGATAACCGTTATATATAACTTATTGTGTTCATCTACTCTTAAAAGTTGCTCTATTCTTGATATAATTTTTTAGTTTAGCTCAATATAATGTTTGAGTTTAGCTCTATCTTTCACAATCCCAATTTCAAGGTTTAAAGTATATTAGTGTGTGTCGATGTTTCATTGACCTCCAATAAAATCAACTATGAATATGGCTCAAGGTTCAAATATCGCATCTTGTTTCATTTATTTCTTTTTCTTCCATTTGTTTCTTTATTCTTTCCTTGTTAATTTCTCGATGTCTGTTGTTTAAACTTTAATAAGACTATCATTTAATTTGGTGTTCTCATTCTTCATGCCCGAGTCCCTAGTATAAATCTTTTTTTATGTAACATAATTTTATTGTTCATGAGTGATGTTTAGATATTGAACTGATTTTCTTAATTGCTAAAACTTAAGTAAGATAATATGATTTGATGTGGGAGTGGTTGTGTAGTATGGTATTAAAAGGTTCATGGATTTTGTGGGTTAGGTCACATTGGATTTTTCTTATTCTTCCCCTGAAATCAGTTGTTGTTCGTATAGGTCTTTAAGCTTAGTACAAACTAATTTTATGTTGGATAAGGAAGCTTGGAAAGCATCACTACGAGAAATATTACATTTTATAGCTTTTTGATATGCTGAACGTTTTTTTGCTCTTGCTATTTATGCCCATTAAGTTTCTTTTTTAGTGAGCTGCTGTCTTTGTTCAGGTGGTGTGTCAATTCTGATGGCTCTTTTTGAGTTGTTCTATTTGATTTACTGAAGGTAGAACTTATGCTCTCAGCTTGAATGCCTGTCTAAGTGAACTTCTTATAAATTAGGTAAAGCATGAACTTCATTGTAGAATTCAAGGTGTATTTTAGATTATGGATTCAAATCTTAGTGGTCAGGGACTTAAGAATGATTATAAATATTAGTCTTTCACAAGTTTTAATTGGTTAAATGTTACATGATTAAACGGCTGATTGTGTGATATTTTGTTCTTTTCTTGTGTCATTGTCGTATGAAATCCTATTTGTTAAATGAGTTTTTATTTTCTCTATTGTGTTTGTATTGGTAACAAATAGTTTTGGATTCTTTGAATACCAATATTGGTTGTATGTGAGAAAGGGGATGAACTTGTTAGATTTTGAGACTTACAATATATTTTATGCACTGCAGTTTGTGGATACTTCAAGTTACATGTGCCCTGAGAGCTTCTTGCTGACATACTAGTTCAAAGTCAAATATATGGTCCTGGTAAACTGCCTACTATTATTGATCCTTATATTTCTAACTTATATCAATTGTGATCTCTGGAATGTTTATATGGGCACCAACTTTATATTCAGGATGTTGAATATATGAAAGGACTGTCCACAAGCCAGCATTTAAAATCTTGGCAAGTTGCTTATCAGTTATAAATCTTCTTCAAATTTTATTTGCTTTTTAGTCAATGGATGGAAACGATGACATCTATTCAGAAATTTTGAAATTTGATTTGTACTTTTTAACTATAAAGTAAGGTTATTCAAGTTCAAGGGCAAAGCGGCCATGGGAGAGTCAAAGCAATTGGTTCTTGATGCATGGAGAACCTCATCTCATAACTGAACTTGTCAAATATTTTCAATGGTATATCTCTCCTCTACTGTTAAGGATTAAAATTTCAACCACGTAAGATTTATTATGAAAACAATAAAGAAGTTGAATGTTTCAATCCTTTATGTTGTGAATGTCAAACCTTGGATGGTACTTTTCTTTCGAAATCCTACTCCTTTTAAACGTAGGACTCCTTGTGTCCCTTGATTTTAAGGATGAAATTGCCTTCTTTGGATGCCCTTTTACAATTTGACTGTGTTACTATCTTCAATTGCTTTTAACTTCTATAAGATTCTCTTGGTTTTAGACTACTCTGAAGATTAATCAATCCATTTTATTATCATGCTTGTTTTAGAGTACTTCCATTGGTCTATGCTTTTACGTTGAAGTGTTGGCCAATCACATGTTAGGTTATCTTGGAAAAGGTAAACGTTGGCTGCTGCAAAAGTGGGCTTTTCAACTAGGTGACACCCCTACACAGAAGAAACAAGCAGATTTGTTATCTTCTTGTAATCTGATTCCAATTCTTCTACGATCGATTCACCTAGGATTCGGTTCAATTCTTAGTAAAATAGATTTTTAGCTCTTCTGGCTTAGCTACCTCTTGTATATTTCAATGAAATATTTCTGTATGAAAAGGTATTGTGCATAATTTACCTTCTTTTGGATTCTTTTTTCGTATACGTTTTGAAAATTCAAGGAAAAATTAGTATCCCATAACCATCAACTTTTGAAAGTAAAGTAAGCATTTTGTATCCTACTTCTGTGTTTAACAACCTCCATAGAAACCCTCTTCACTATTGGTGCATTGTGAATTATGTTCTAGAGGCTTCATAGTACTTTAGTAAAGTGAAGTTTTTATCGTGGTTTGTGTTATATAGTTTAGAATTGTGCAACGTTACTGAAATGTTTTCCTGAACTTTTATAATTATGTTATTCTGCATACATGATTGTATTTGTGTAATAATTTACACTATTTTGTCCTATGTAAAGATGAATTTTTCTCCAATTGGTGTTCTCTGCCTTTCCAATTTTTTGGCGTCATGTTTCTATATGTTATTAATAATTGATTTAAATACTAGTTTCACAAGGATTATAATAATTTTTATGTAAGGTTGATGATCTAAAATATAACATTGAAAATTTATAGATGGAAAGAAGTTTAGGGACTATTTAAACTTTAATCATTTATATCAAATAAGACATTTCATACCAAATACGAGATTACTTCAGGGTTTTGGTTGTTGATTCAGATTGATATATGGAACTATTTTTTTTACGTTGATAAGTTTTTTGTCATTTATCTAGTCGTATTTGATTTCATGTTAGTCTTATTGTTCCTCTTTATTGCCATTTTAGGTAAGCTTTGATCGTTTGCTAAAAACTTATGGCTTCTTATGAGTTTTGGAGGGAAACGCGCTTCACAAAATCTTCTAAGAGCATATAGACATTGTTGTTGGAAGAACCTTAGATGCTTGAATGTAGTTAACTATCTTTTTCCTTTTTTTACTTTTGGTGAATTTATAATGTAACACTTTGTATTGTAAACTATTAAGTAATTTACTTTATTTTGTTATGTAATGGATCATGAAAATTTCATTTAGAAAAAGAATGTGATGATATATTTAGTGTCATATAGTATTTTTTGTATGTTTATTTAACTACAAAAAGTTCATTGATTGACTTATACAAAGTTTATGTGGAACAACTAAACCATATATATAAATTTGCCATAATAATTATAGGAATGGAAAAAAAAATATAGAAATCTATAGCAACGTAATAGAAACTATATATACAATATAGTAGCTTAAATAAAAAGTTATTATAAGTTTAAGATAGAAAGAAATTTAAGCTATATTAACTATTTAATAGCACAAAAAAAGGCCATTATAAGATTATGATAGCAAAATTCGTTAGTTTGCAATATATCATTTGATAGCACAAAAAAAAAGAGCTATTATAAGTTTAGTACAGCAAAAAAAAGAGATATCTAAACCTATAATAGTGTTAAAATAAAACGCTATTAAATGTTTTCATAGCAACATAAATATGCAATAATTTCTTTATTTTCATAGCGTCAGTTATAGCTCTTGAAAAACGCTATCAAAGGTCATGGACTTTTAATAGCATCGACTATCACGACTCTCAAAAAACGCTATAAAAAGTCTTTTATAGCGTTTTTCGTGAGCTATCATATTCCATTTTTCTTGTAGTGTTGTCTGGTGATATTCAGCAGGATAGTTCAATTAATTGGAATCTGGTGGTGGTGGGTGCAGTGTTGCTCAGTATGGAATAATGGAAATAGCAATAGACCATCTTTCCAAAAATTTATATTTCCATGTTGCTGATGGCTGAAGAAAGGCAGTAACTTAAAACGAAAGAAAATTCTTATACTTGAGAGCTAAATACTTGATTTGACCATTAAAAAGATTGAATATGTCTCTATTGTGTTAGGTAATATTCCCAAGAAAAAAAAAAAGAAATACTAGTAAACGAAATCAGCTAATTTTAGCGCATATGATAGACTTTGAGAGACCGAACACATGTAAGACTAACACGTGTATGTCACAAAATACAGAAAATACAGTCATAAATTATAAAAGGCATCCGGTAAAATAGTTAAAAACTAGATTAGATTGATAGATAACCACAATAAAGTAAAAGAAAAAGAAAAAAAACGGAGAAGGTTGTGGGGCCATGGGCTGTAATTTCCTCAAAGTTTTGAGTTGAGATGAAATACTAAAAATATTTAGGTTACTAATATGTCATAAATTGTTATTGGTATTCAATTATAAATAGAGGGTTCTGACCTGCATAGTTCTACCACAAAACCATGATCATTGCCAATAGGAATATCAGCCAACACTCGAGCTTCGAGTGTTTTGGTGGCAGAGTTTGGAGGCGATCCCATTTGCTTGACTTCAAAAGTGATGTAATACATTATACTAACCACAACTTTATTAGTTACCTTCACCATCTTCACAAAATCAAAACTTGTACCCTACATTCATAATAAATATGATCAAAACTATATATCAAGTTGAAAACAAACAAATTCTAAAGGGAAGATAATGAATACATTTTGCTGATTGTAATAGTCAATAGCTTTGTCTACGAATTCTTGAAGCTCTTCCGAATATAATCGACTCCCAGTTACAACATCAATGTGACCACAAGCGTAATGACCGAGAAAAGAGGGCATGTCAAACCCCTGTATTCATGCATACGACAAAGAAATAAACTAAAGTGAAATAGTAATATGATTAAAAGAAAGATAGGAAAACATCAGTTTTCTTCAAAGCAATAAAGTATTCTATCTGTTATTCTACGGTCATCTCACGGGCTTTGTCAGGATCATTATTTGTGTGCGCGCGCGTAACTGAATGTGCGTGTGTGTGTACGTGCTTGTCTGTGTGTGTAGGTGTGTGTCTGCGCAGGCGCGTGTGCGTGTGTGTGTGTATGTGTGCGTGCGTGTGTGCATGAGTGTGCATGTGCGTGCGTGCGTGTTTTAGTGCGCGTGTGTGTACGTGCCGTAGCATCTGTGTTCGTGAGTGTGTGCGATCGGATCAGCGTGCGTCCGTGCGTGTGCGTCCATACAACATACATACCAGCACACCCCAACAAATAAATGGTAAAACCGAATTCCATTAACCAATATTATTATAAAATTGCCAAAAACGATAAATGAAAATGCATCTTATTTTGTTTTTGAAGTAGTAATAAACCTAAAAAATGTCTTTGAACAAGGTTCTCTTCAGTTTTCAAATATTAGCAATCATTTTATCTTCTTTTTAAAAATTAAAAAGTCTCGACCTCGATAACTAATACCAGAAAAAAAAAAAACCCGCTCCGGATATGACTTTTTCTTTAAATTTTAGGCCCTTAATCTAGGAAAACAGAATAATTATATTGCAATAATAGGTTTCCTGAAAAATATTATAGTGCTTCTTAAGTAGAACACAGAAGAAAGGTTTCAAATTAATTGACAAACTGACAAAACTCTAATCCAAGATTTATTCCTCTTGAACCGGATTTGTTGGTTGGATCTTTTTAATAGAATAAATTAACATTTTTTACCATAGAAATTAACAACTTAACAAATATAATTTACAATTACTATTTTTAAAATGTTTATTTAATCATAAATTTTCAGAAAACAATTATTTCGTGATTTTCTGTCATTCATTAGTCAATACTTGATAATTAATTTTTTAATTTAAAACCTTTACAAATAATAATAATAAAGAAAATAATTAATTTAAAGGACTTTTTATTGGTTTATTATTAGTTTACTTTACTAATATATATCATCCACAAAATTGCAGAATGCTAGACGCCAAAGTTTTCTTAATCTATAATTTTCATTCCAAATCTAAATGCTTATGTTAGCAACCACTACACGAAAATTAGTCTTTCGCAACAAAAAAATTACAGCGGTTTCACTATTGTTGCAAGCATTTATTCAATTGTAGCGGTTCGATTGCAACATTATGTAAACCCCTGCAATTGTGTATATTGCAGCGATAAAGTTGCAACGTTTTAATTAAGCGTTGTATGAGCATATATTGCAACATAATATTTTTAGCATTGCTGGAAATTGTTGCCATAGTTGAATACAACTGCAACATTTATACATTAGTATTTTTGTTAATTTATGTAGAGATTGTATAACAACATTTACTTGTTGCAGTTCTAAAATCGTTACAAAAGATTAATGCAATTGCTACGGTTATTTTGCATCAATTTTATTAATTGTTATAGGAGAGTTTATTGCAACAATTAACTGACAACAAATGTACCACCGCCGCAATAGTATAATGCAACCACAATGTTATAGTTGTATCATTCTTATTGTTTCGGGAAGGGAATACTCTGGACACGTGGAAGACCCCTATTGGTGCTCCAAGATGACTCATGAATCATGCCCAGCTCGGAAGGCCGAGATGGCCGCCACCAACGCCGAGAAATGCCAAGTGTGAGGGCCGAGGTGAGCCCGGCCCAGGTCCGACCCACCGGGGAGCTCGGTATGGGCCGAGATGCGCAACTGTCTGCGGCGTGATTATCGGGAATAACCGTCGGTCCTGAGATTACCGGATGTAACCGACGGTCCCGAGATTACCGAATGTAACAGCCGCGAGATTAGCGGGACTACCACCCATAAGTAGAGGACTTCACTCCACGATCAGGTACGATGATTTCTGGCTTGGAACTGAACTTGGAATCCGACCTGTACTGACTTGATCGTAGGAGTGCTCACCTTTTTGTACAGGTCCGCCCAAGTGTTCAGGTCGGTCCGGAGGCCGGGTTCGAGCTACAACCAGGAACACACTGTTGTGCACATCTTTGCATAAACACTTATTAATTGTTGCACGGGAGTGTATGACACCATTTATTTTATAGCGATTTATGCCACCATTATAAGGATTTTTGCAATCCCAACATTTAATGAGTAACATTTTTAACTGCGGTAAGAAATAATTTAACTTTATTTATATAAATTTTTAGTAGTATAGATATGTAATGTCCACTATTTATTCCATCTAAGTGATATATTAGCTAATTAATAAGTTAAAAACTAAAAAATTTGCCTCTAAATTTGACAAGGTGTGTGTCAATTTTTACCTTTAAATTTGAAATTTTATTAAATTAAATCATAACCGTCTTAGATAAATATACCATCAGCTAAGGAAGTGCTCTAAAAATTTAACATCATACTAAAGTTTTTAAAACCAATATAATGTTGTCTATTTTT